TCTTCCTGATCAGAGTACCAAGCTTATGATATCATCACCCATAATCCCATTCTAACATTTTGTATGTAAAATGGCTCAGAAATTAAAGGGGAGGCAAATTTGTCCCTCCTGTCACAGCACAGTTAAAGGGATGCAGTGCATAGAAGGCAACATAGGAGATGCAAATGTTGAGATTTTATGAGATTATAACTATTCCTTGCTTAAACAGGGTATACCAGCCCTGAGGTTTGATTTTGTTAGATCTCCCTTCTGATCTGATCATGCTATGGCCATAAGTCACCTCCTGTCCTGGACTGATTTTGGCTCCCCTTCAAACTGTAGCTCCCTATTATAGCTTTGTTAGATTAATATCCATAAGTGGGTAAAGAACACTATGAATACATAAGGGAGGATAGTTCCCTTTAGGTTGTCCTTTAAGAAAAAAATAGGGAGAGCTTCACACGTACCAGCTGAAAGTATCAGCATGGTTAAGCACAATCTAAACTTAGTGCAACACTTTCCAACATAGTCTAAAATTAGGAACAGCAAGATTTGGTGGAAATACACAAGGAGAGCATAACACAGTGTATTGGGAAATAAGACACTGCAAGTTAACATAATCCTGTAAGCAGTAAATATAGCTTCAGTGATTTATCTCCCTCGGGTAAGCAAATTTGTACCTGTAAGGAAATACTCAGCACCCTGACTTGGGGCTGTGTGGTACGATGGCCTTGCTGTGAGAGTCAGTGCTCACCCTCCTCTAGGACCAGCAAGAAGCCTAGGATTAACATACCAGGGAAAGTCAATGCTTTACAAGTGACTGATGCTCTCAGCTTGTTATGATTACGCTCAAGAGGAGGACATAGTAGAGTAGTGCAAAACCTTTAAAAGAGGAAACACAAAACTACTTGGGGTACAGGCTAAAGAGTGTCAGATTCAAAAGGATCAAGAACACAAAGTCCTGTATCTACTATGTACATAACCCTCCCATGCACATAGCCCCACTCACCTTCTTACAGGCACAGTTGCTTTCCCCTGCAAGGCATTTGGTTCACCCAGTTTTTTGCCTCAGCTATTGTGAACAGCAAGCTCTAAGGAAAAATGGAAGAGATGGATACTCTCAGTGTGTTTGAGGAAGCAAGAAGCCCCCTCCCAAACAGCTGTTAGAAAGTTCTCTTTTCCAGGGCACTTGGTATTTTTGGCACACCAGCTTACAAATGGGTCTCTTCCCTCCACCCCTGCCCACCCCTCAGCTTCAGGGTTTTTTTTTACAGTTGATATTAATTCTCCAGGCATGGACTAGCGGCTTTCAGACTTCGCAAGTTATGCATAAAGAAAATCCTTGTTATCTAACCATAGAACAGTACTAATAATATGAATTCAACCATGCATCAAAGGCGTGAATTTTTGGCATGTTTTCAAATTAGTCTGTTCCTCTCAGAAAGACTTGGCTCCCCAATCATTATTTGAATTATTAAGCCTAAAAAATGTGCAGGAACTAAAGCTGAATTTGCTCCTTTCAACACTCTCATCAAATATTTTCCAGACACCCTAACAACAACTGTTTCCATAGCTTCCTGTATGAGACAGGGCAATTATACTCGTTCTCAAACAGGCGGGGGTATCTTCTACCAGAGGCCACTGCACTTTTGGGCATGCTCTGTAGTCTGCACAGCCTGCTCTGCAGAATATGTGTGTTTATGTCCTCTTTCTCTGTAAGTTTTTGGACACATTTCACCACAGGTAAAAAAAAATAAAAAATAAAACAATAAAATAAAAAAAAAGGAATGCAGGATTTTTCATGTGATGTATTTCATCACAGGGAGAGATGATCAGATCTGAGAAGTCACTATAACCGCACAGGTGAACGCTGGTACCAGCCATATGCCAGGAGTGCAGACGTGCAAAATCTTTGCAGCTCTGGCTTGTCTCCCAGGAGGTTCAACATCCAGTGAGAATTAGTAACATCCTCAAAAAATCACAGATACTTAAGTAACTTGCATTTGGCTTCAATTCTCTGTTAATCAAGGACGGACTGGTCTAAAATTACACTAAGGTGCATGCAAAGAGCATGGACTACCGAGTGGAGTTAAGTAGGTAGCAGAGCTGATAGTGTCTTCATAGAAATTTTATACCACACATGTTTATGATAAGAGTTGGTAGAAATTCTAGATACAGCTACAGACGGATAAAACTTAAGAACTTGGTGATGTGCTATGTTAGAGGTTTAAATGTATGTTTCCTTTTTGTACATATGCAGGCATCTAAGTGTGATTAATTGGTAATACATTAATTTAGCTTATGACAGGAAAACTATGACAAATTAAGAGAACAGATGGGGAGCACGCAGTCTCCCAGAAAGTCACATAGACAGGGGGAGACCGCGAGGAAGACGGCGTATTTGTGTGCCTGCAGGCCAGCGAAAACGGCAGCGGAAAGATCACACAGACGTGCCGTTTGTTTGGCAGGAACCGAGAAACACAACACTAAAAAGCGGCTCTTCCTCGCTTTATCCTCACCCCAAAAAATAAAGGCCAAACGTCAGAACTCCCCAGGACCCGAGGCCGCTCCCGGGATTTGCCGGGGCCCCCCGAGCTCCGCCCCTGCGCGGCCGCTGCGCGACGTTCCCGCAGGCCCCGCGCTCCCCGGCGGGCCGGGCCGGGCCG